CGACCAACATTTAAACCTAAGTATCAAACTCGTCCAACTAAAGTAGAGAAACCTGATTTGGACCTACCGCAATCAGATGAACCATTGAAACCTAATACAGAGACCAAGGTTACTGTATCGGACATACGAAAATTCCTCCCTGCAGGTTACAGGCCTAAATCTTTAGATGAAGATTTACCTAAAACTATTGGAGATATTTTGGAGAAAGGTAAGACTACAGAAGCACCAAAACTGGAAATTGCTGGGTTGAAAATAATTGCAGCGGATATTGGGTCTTTGTTACCTCCAGGATATAAACCTCCAAAACTACTACTACTACCACAACTACTACTTCCACAATGGCTACATTTACAGAGCCTATGAAAGCAGAAACGAATAATAAAACTAGCGATGATAAACCAGAACCACCAGTGGTTAACAATGTTGTTACATCTACGATGGCACCAACAACATCAGGACAGAAGACAACCAAAGATCTTTTCAAGGGTATCACCCAAGATGATTTAGCGGCATTTTTACCACCTGGGTACAAAAAACCTACTACTACAACCTCTACACCATCTCCTGTGACTACAACCACCACCAAAAAGTCACCGTTGGCAGGTATTACTCTTGATGATATCTCAGCATTCCTTCCACCCGGTTTTAAACTGACAACAGAAGCAAGTGTAACTACTACCAAAGCTCCTCTACTAAAGGGTGTAACGTTTGAAGATGTTTCATCGTTACTACCACCTGGATTTAGAGGAACCACAGAAAAGCCAAAACCTGACTCCGTCCTAGCAGGAATTACGATGGATGATATAGCGGCATTTTTACCACCTGGCTACAAAGGACGCTTCAGTCCAAAATCAACCACGCCACAACCTAAAGTAGACACGACTGTTGCAACTACTCCATCCACTACAACAACCACTTCGAGTGGATCAAAGATTGTTTTCCCAGGTCGTGCAGCAGGTCTGCCTAAAGGTACCCATAGAAAATCTTTTGGTGGTCGACTAACTACTCCCAGAAGTATACCTGGCGAAGGTGCTCAACCTGCTCACAATGCCGGTGGTAATTCAGGTAGTGATACTCGTGTCCCTACTCCAACAATTCACAAAGGCTGGCCAACAAGGTAACAATAACTTTATTTAAACTTTTGTTGTTTATTTAAGACACATATTGTCCCATTTTCAGAGCAACTACTGAATTTACCGGTTGGCCTACACCATCAACCACTCCGATTTCAATCGAGAAACTTCTTGAAGCTGCTAAGAATATTACCTTCCAGCTGGTTAGCACCACAAGCTCAACAACCACTACTACAACCACAACAACGACAACTACCACCACGACTACGCAGAAACCAACAACACCCGGATATTGTGTTAAGGAGTGTGATCTGGCGGGTACAATTAAACTGGTAGGCGGGGCCAAATGGGTGCCGGAATTGCTGGATAGGAATACAAGGGAATGGCAAATTCTCGCTAATGAAGTGCAGTCTCAGGTATACTACTCATAAAACAAGTTTTTGGTATAGTTGAA